TTCGATTTTTCGATTTTTTCGATTTTTCGATTTTTAGATTTTTTCGATTTTTTCGATTTTTTCGATTTTTTCGATTTTTTCGATTTTTTCGATTTTTTCGATTTTTTCGATTTTTTCGATTTTTTCGATTTTTTCGATTTTTTCGATTTTTTCGATTTTTCGATTTTTAGATTTTTTCGATTTTTTCGATTTTTTCAATTTTTTCGATTTTTGGATTTTTTCGATTTTTTTCGATTTTTCGATTTTTAGATTTTTCGATTTTTCGATTTTTTGATTTTTCGATTTTTCGATTTTTTCGATTTTTCGATTTTTCGATTTTTCGATTTTTCGGTTTTTCGATTTTCCGATTTTTCTATTTTTCGATTTTTTGATTTTTTGATTTTTCGATTTTTCGATTTTTCGATTTTTCCATTTTTCGATTTTTCGATTTTTCGATTTTTCGATTTTTCGATTTTTCGATTTTTCGATTTTTCGATTTTTCGATTTTTCGATTTTTCGATTTTTTGATTTTTTGATTTTTCGATTTTTCGATTTTTCGATTTTTCGATTTTTCGATTTTTCGATTTTTCGATTTTTCGATTTTTCGATTTTTCGATTTTTCGATTTTTCGATTTTTTGATTTTTCGATTTTTCGATTTTTTCGGTTTTTCGATTTTTCGATTTTTCGATTTTTCGATTTTCTTTTATTGAATAAATGAGAAGTTAATACTGTTTAATGCCGCACCGCTGTGCCGGTCGGAGTAGGGGGTATTAGGTTTTTTTTCGTTACGGACTTTCTTAATTCGGTCGCCGCGCTCAAAGCCCGCGATAAAAGCTATGCAATAGCTTAAAACTGACTCATTATTTTTTTGAAATAAAAATGTTATTTTTAAAATTTTCGACTGTTCTCTGTTTCCAAAAAAGAAACACGATGTTGTCAAGCAAGGTCTTCTGTAGATATTAACATTCTTTTATTGGATTTTTAATTTTTTTTTAAATATTCTTTAATATTTTCATAATTTGGGAAAGAGTATAGCAAATACCCGAAAAATTGTAAGTACGCTCTTAATTAATTTTTTTATCTCATAACGTCGGGTATAAGAAGTTATATAGAAAATATCATCCAGACAAAAAACAAAAACATGTTTAAAGGAATATATTAAGTAATTTATGACCATTCTTTAACAGAGATATATTTATTTGTATTATAAAATTAATGTTTATGTCAACAAACTTATGTTCGATATTTGTATCAATTTGTAAATATAACTTTTGTATAATGCTAATATTAATATTTAAGATATCAAAGTTCGAAATTCCTTTTACTGGCCATAATACTATTTTTGGAATAAAAGCATTAGTTCCCGTTTTTCAGTTAAACTCCATAAATCAATTCATATTTTAATCTGATCGCTACTTAAGCGCAATAAAGTTGCAACAACTAAACAATATAGTGAACTTTTCGAAAATTTCTAAGTTAAAATGAAAATCAATTTATATTTAAAATTAAATAAGTTAACTAAATTTTTTGATCGTATGAAGTTATTTAAGTTATAAATAATTACATTTTAATGATTCATATGTGAATTTTCAATTTCTATTGATGCGTTTTACAATCTCAATACATGACTTGGCTTTGGCACAAAACCCTGTATAGTAAAACCTCTAATCCGAATCAAATTTTTGAAATTATTATTTGGTGACTTAAAAACGTGGTCCACTAGTTGGTGTAGCGTTTTAAAACATTTGGTATAATAATAATTATTATATCATCAATTGCCACTGACACTGGTAAAATCCTAAATTTATAATAATACTCGTAAGACATTAATCATTTTATTTTGTATCTTTTGTTCTCAAAAGCTGTCATTGAGAGGAAATTTCTCCACTTTTATTCCTGCAGAAGTCCAAAAGCACAAAAGCATAAAATGCAAAAATCCATTTGTGTTACGTGCAGCTGCCCTTAATTTGACAATATCAATAGATGTTCTCTTTGATGGTATTGTCCTTTTTCAATAGAGGTTCTCTTTAATGGTATTGTCCTTTTTCCAAAAAGTTATTTCTCTTCTGCCTATTTCTTCTTTTACAGTTAGCACTCTAGCTCCATATGGACATTTCAACTCTATCATAGAATTTGTTTTTTTTTTTAATTCTATTCAGACTTGCACCAAACATAAATAATCAAATTCAGATTCAATAAAATGTCCACAATTTTCCTTGCAAATAAATTTCCAAATACCTTTTTCTCCACAAAATTTTTCTCTAGAATGTGTATGGCCATTGTATAAAAGCGTTTTGTGACCTCTTTCGCTGTCAACAAATTGTAACGGCATTTTCAAATTTTACAATGATGTAAACTCGTACAAAGACAAAATAAGAATGATTACAGTTCGTTGGTATTTCTTATTTAAACCTTATATACATATATTATAAACAGGGCATATAAAATACTAACTTATACAAACAAGTTATTGAAGATAATCCTTTTTAGAAATAAATATTGATTGCACTATGAATTTCTCCTTGAAAGGATTAATAAAGGATAATTATAATTCTCTATTATTATTAACTAATGTGGTAACTTACCCGAATTGGCTAATGAAGATAATCCTTTTTAAATAGTAGATAAAGGACTGTTGAGAACCTGCGACTGCCGCTTATACACTTTAAATTGGCTTATCAATAATACATTATTGATATTTATTATATTTTTCTTAGTAAAAACTACTTGATTAGCAGAAAAAAGTAAATCATATTTTTGTGTAATTTAGAGTAAGATATTTTGTAATTTTTTCGAAAAAATAATTTTATTTGGTACTTATAAGAAAAATTCAATATAGCACAAAAAAAATTGTTTGTTTTTTAGACATACTGTATAAATCATAGATACAATACGATATTTTTGTGGCGATGAATTGTCGTAGCGATAAACTGTCGTAGCGATGAAAAGTCGTGGCGATGAATTGTCGGCTCTGAAAGGTCGCGCGATAAATTGTCGCGCGACGAATTGACTGGATACCCTTTTATTGTGCCACAATGCACAGTCAGCTTGTCACAATCGTTTTTTCTCATCTATAGACATTGGCTTACATTTTAGAAAATCTTCGCTTGCAGCGCGACAGATCAAAGCCATGTGCGAGAGCAAGATAAATGATTTACATTACTTTAACGGATTGAAGAGTTGTTAACATGCTGGAATTAATAATTATTGTTAACTCGAAGAGGTATTCATTAAACAAAAAAAAAAACGTGCGATATAGAAGTTAAACAAAAACATATTTATAATTCACATTTCAGTGTATACTTTTTAATAAATAAATAATAAAATTAATTTAATATAATTGAGCGAAATAACTGTATGTAAAACATAACAAAATGAATTCAAATTACTAAATAGTAGAAAAAGATATATATTTTGTTGGTTTCACCTTCTAGACGAAAAAGTTTTTAACGTATTTCTATTTTTACTGTAAGAAAAATAAATGCTACTGTAGGCAAAAATTAAATACATTGTTCCCTTCTATCATTTTTTAACATTTCCATTTCCATTTCTTTTCGTTTCTTTTCCTAGATTTTTTTCAAAAGAGACTGATTTAAATTTTTAAAATGACTCCGGAGAGGTACGGGTTTAGCCTTTGCCTGTACATAAATTTTCTTTTAGTGAAAATAAATAATCCGTAAAATTGGTGTACTATGAAATCCTTGCATATACGTCAATCTTAGTATTACAGAAATGATTTACTTAAAAAATAAGGTGTACAAACACGTAAAATTTATTTATCCCTCGTATAACATCAGTAAAATATATTATAAATTGTTTTCATTCACAAATACTAATTTCTTAAAAATCTAACAGAGGCGCCACATTCCAGACCTAAAATCTTGCAATGTAAGGGTTTCGTAGTACCCCACTTTTAAAGTTTATTTTTGAATAGTTTTAAAAGAAAAAATATGTATGTATAGGTAAAAGTTAAATCTATGCTTCTCTAAAACCATTTTTTTAAAATTCAATTTAGTTTTTTCTAAAAAAAATTGAGAAAATGGGTAAAAAAAGTCGAGTTTTGTATTTTTTTTTTATAAAAAACTGAATCAAATTTTGAAAAAGTGTCTCCAGAGGAGTATAGATTTAACCTTTACCTACACGCACATATTTTTTTCTGTTAGAAAAAGTCAAAAATAAACTTTAAAAGCGGGGTACTACGAAACCCTTGCATGCTCCGCGCTACAACCAAGTAATTACTCCTCTAAAGTGGAAAAGTAGGTTTGCCAATTATTTCAGTCTCCAAAAAATCCTTTTTAGCAAATTCGCTTTCTGTTTTTTTAACCGCTATATTATATTGTGTTATTATTTTTACACCAGAACCATTTTAAAAAGAAATTAAAGATATTTCAATAAAAAGTGAGTACATAAATTTATCTTGTAAAGTGACATCGTCAATTTAAAAAATATAAAAAATACCACTCTTAAATTTAAAACTTGTTTAAAAGGAGAACTGATTACGGGTTTTTTAAAGCATTAACTTAATTAATTTTTACGTGATCGTTGAAGGAAGCCAAGATAATGATATAACTATGACTTATGACAAACCAGTTAAAACAAATGGGCAGCCGGTTTTTGGTCTCTATGCATCTAAGTATCCATTGGCGTGAACGATTTCTGGACATTTTTTACTTCGTTTCCCACGACTTTTGTCCAATTTTTGGATTCAAATACCCCATGTGCGCCGGCACTGGCGTTATATTGATTTATCTCTTCATTAGTTTACTTTTTCTTATTTCAACTAGGTTGGTACATCATCGTTTATTGCTTTGTTTCTTAAATTATTCCAAATTCTAATCCGGTCCTCGAAAAAACGAAATAGAAACATTAATGATTATTGTTTCAAATATTGAAATTAGTAAAACGAGTCTGTGAAAAAAACGCCAGATAAGAATAAAAGCGGTTCGTCGCGTAATCTCAAAAACTGATAACAATTCTCAATAAAGTATTTACTAGCAACATAGACAAGTTCAGTTGTTCGCATCTATCACTCGCGAGCAACAACTTCGTAAACAAAGGTCCTCATCAATTCGTGCGTGTTTCGAACTGAACTTCCATCCAACTCTGTCATCATTACTATAAACTGCCACTACTACTACTACTTCTTAGCGTACTTTTTCAGCTGGTATTCAGTTTAGATTCAGTTCACGTTTGGACTCGGTCTGCTAGGAGTGGATTTCGAACGCAGCACGCGAATGTGAGAGCTGGAAATTCGAATTGTGTCGCTTCGATTTCAGAATGGAGCAGGGCGGTACTATGGGTTTTTCGAAACCCAAATTAAAGGTGAATGTGTCCAATAAGCGGCCGGATTCGCTAAAGTTGGAGCTGTTGACCATTCCGGAAAATTCGTATATGAACCAGTTCGCCAACGGGAATATCAGCAAGGTGGTTAACGTGGGATTTAGGAATATTAGTTATACGGTTAAGAAAGGACTATTTAAGAGAAGTGAGTATAGATAATATATTTTTTAATTGATTTACCTGTTCAGGGTGTCCCAAAATATTACGTTTTGCAGGGTATATCAAAAACTAAAGGAGATAAAAAATAGTTGTTGAGATGAGTGAATGGTTTTTGTTAAAGTAACGATTGCCTGATCAAATTTTTGGTAAATATCTAGTTTGAGCTCTTTTCGATTACGGAAAAACTAAGCATAGGTACGTACTTGTAGGTATTGCTATTGTAAATAAAAAACCCGAGTTCCATGTCTTGTTCAAATGAATAATAAGGACACAAATAATTTTTTTTAAATAAAAATATATAATGTTATACTTAATTTCATCAATTTTGCGAGAAAGAGAGTGAATAGGGATGCTGGGTGGAAAAACATCGTCAATAGCTAATATATTATAAAAATATTGTTAGGGCAAGCAAGGGGGGTAATGGGGGTAATTACCTCCCCCCAAGCCATAGTCAACATCAATATTTTTTTAAACATTATATTAAACAAAAATAGAGAGATAAAATAAATACAATAAAACAAAGAGTTTTCAAACATTGTTATCTGAAATAATAATATTGCTGCAAATTGAAAATTAAAATTTATATACAGGGTCCCATTAGTTCGTAATTATTTAATATTTCAGTTTGTGTTATTGACAAGCAAACAAGTTTTATTAAAAGTTATAAAGATATGAAAAATACATATTTTAAAAATATTTTTGGATATACAGGGTGTTGCGTTTTTGCCTGACAAATAAAAATGTATATTTTTTTAAATAAAACACCCTATATTTTATTTTATTTTTAGAATGGCTTGGGAATGCTGTATTTAACCCTAGAATGTTTTTAAAAAATATTACAGTGTTATTAAACAATTAATTTTTTTTTAATTATAGAATGATGTAGACCCCAAATTAAATTATCATAATTTAGGTAGGTTTACATTAATTTCAAAATTGTTTAATATACCGACTTATAAAATACTAAGTTCACCAATAAAGGTGATACAACTTGTTTATTCTATACAGAGTGTTTTAAAACATGTCTAAAATATGTCTTATTTTAAGTTCAATTTACACAATTTTTTCAAATGCAATACACTGTATATTATCTTATTCCCTATAAATTTGCCCATGTATTAACACCAATGTGTTAGTCAATAACACATATACAGGGTAGGGTGTCCCATCAGTGCATAATTGATCGATAGCTGTTTTATTATTAGAAATACGAAGAAATATTTAATATAAAAGTTGTATGATATATTTAACAAATATTCTTAAATATACAGGGTGGTCCATAAACGAGGTATTGACCAAATCTATCCCTACTTTTTTAAAGCAAAACACCCTGCAGGTAGTAACATATTTGATTGTTTTTACATCGTCAAACAATTTTAATTGACTTCATTCATTTGCTATGTTGTATATAGGGTGTGTTAAAACGTGAGGTTACGATTTTCTCAATTTTTTAAATGGAATACTATGTATTAATTAATTAATTAATTGGTGGCATGACATATAGGGTATTCCATTTAAAAAATTAAAAAAAAAATATTTATTTCTATTTTATTTTTTTTTTCCTTTTTTGGTTTTTTCCTTTTTTTGGATATACATTTTATGAAAAGTAATAGCTGTTCGGAGTTTCTTTTTTAAATTTTGTTTTACAAGACGATAAATTATCAATTCACAAATAAGACGCGAGCTGTAAATGAATTTAATTTATTTCTTTTCAACCCAATTCTGAAACTATAATTTTTATTAATTTGAAACAAATGTACAATGTGATAAAAATAAACGTACTAGTTATTTTTTAATTTAAATTTGGCTATTTGATTTTTTATATTTTGCTTTTGTAAAAGTGTAGATTTATTCAGCTTTTTGAAAATGTCTTCCTAATCTAATTACTAGTGATTTTTTCATTCTTAATTAGAATACTACACTCAATATTCGAAAAAAATTAAATTGGCTAGTTTAATTTAAATTACATTGTGATAGTAGTGATTTGACAGCTTTTTATTGTGTTGCTTTTTTTTAGAGTTTCCACTCTGCATATTTTTGGTGTTGCATTTTTGTTATATAGAAATTTTTGGTAGTAAAACGAAAACGTCAAGTGTTTGTTATTGTAATTAGGACGTAATCAAAATAAAAATGCTGTGGAAACAATACCGCTAAAATGGGATAAAAATTCTTACAATTTTACGTTTCGAAAATAATGTTGAAAAGACATTTTCAGAGATTATTTTCCAAGGAACAGGAAAATTTAAAGTTTTCAAAATTAAGTTAAAAAGTATCTTTTAAAGTTTATGTATGACTTCTTGGTCATTCTTGTTGATCTAAGTGATTTTTTTTAATTTCTCTCAATTTATTGGAAAACACCCTATATACAACATAGCAAATAAATGAAGCCTATTAAAGTTGTTTGACGATGTGAAAACAAATATTAAAATGTATAAGTTTGGTCAGCCTCTCGTTTATCGATCACCCTGTATATTTAAGAATATTTATTAAACATGGTCATATTACATTTATATTAATTTGTTTTTCCTATTTCCAATAATAAAACAGCTATCGATCAATTACGCACTATTGGGACATGTTGGTATCGTTGGATAGATAAATTTATAAAGAATTTTATGCGAAATTATATACAGTGTGTTGCATTCGACAAAATTGAGTAAATTGAACTTAAAATTAGTCATATTTGAGACATGTTTCAAAACACTCTGTATAAAATAAATCAGTTCTATCACCTCGGAAATGGAATAGTCTACAAAGATCAACCAGAAGTCCCTTTTTGTGACAAATGACGTGAGAAATATTTATTAATCGTAAGTTTTATGAAATATAGGGTGTTCAAAAAGTTTTGAATAAAATTGTTTCTTTAGCCCTTCATTCTACGCCAATGAGTTATAGTAATTTATCGAAATAGTGTGTTAACTAATAATAACGATTACCTATCATACATATTTTTAAGTTAAAGTCTTTACTGTAAGGGAAGATATTTAGAAAATATGTATTTATGAAATTCACTTTATCACCCTGTAGAATGAAAACTGGGACGTTTATAGGAAAATTATATTTAGCTTTTCTTTATAATTGATCTAAAAATCCTCAAAATTACGGTACTTTATTCTGAAACACCCTGTATAAATACCTATATAAAAAATTATAAACTTCTTTATAAAATTCACTTTTTTCTGGAAATACAAATATGAACTTTGGACGTTGCATTTGTACCATATTCTAAGATAACACGCTGCGAATTCACCAATAATGTGAAAAGTGTTACCCCCCAAGAAAACAACCTAGCTACGCGCTTGGCACAAGATATGAAACTAAGATTTCTGTTTACAATAGTGATATCTACAAGTAAGTATGCTTAGTTTTTTTTTTTTTTCGTAAGAGAAAAGTGCTCAAACATAATGATCAAATATCTTTAATAGATCCCATTATTGATCCATTTTATTGAAAAAAGTCTAAAATTACTATGTTCTATAACTTCTCTATTAAGAAAAATGTTCATCAGAAAATTTGAGCTCTTTTCAATTACAAACACCTGTCGAGACATTTATAATAGTCATCACATTTGCACATAGCAGTATTAAGCAATCAAGTTTGGTTTGAAAAGAATGTTTTTCTACACCCGTATTATAATAATGCACTTATATGCCCATAATCCGTTTCATAATGATACCCATTATGATACAGATTTTTCATTACGATACAGATTTTTAATCAATAGAAACCTACAATTTTTCAATCAAGCATGCTGTTTGACGTTTGTCCTAGGTTCCTATGTAATTAGTTTAGTTGTCAAAACGTATTAAATTTTCGTAGGTAGCTAAACTTCGATAATTATAATATTAAAATGTCTGATATTAGCGATATAGAAGACTCCTCCACACATATCGGAGAAAGCAGAAAATACAGTACAAAATATTTTACCGCAAAAATCTAGGGAAATACCAATACCTGAAGTAATACCATTAATTACAATTTTGTAGAATTTTTTATAGAAATACGAGTAATTACTGTTATTGTGTTCAATACCAATATAAATATAATATTTATAGGTCTTGATTATTTATCGGGTGTAGAAAAAATAGCGTATGCAACTCTCATGTAATGGTTATTACATGATCGTTGCATAATATACTATTATGTGAATCCCGCTTAAAAGAATGTAGTAGGCCTTTGGTTTTGGTATCGCTTAATCAGAAATAAATAAATATTTTTAATTTCTCTTGCTACAACAGCAAAAGCTTGAGAATTTAAAGTGTTAGCAATATAAGATTACACTTAATCAAAGATATAATTATATTCTCAATTGAATACACTAAAAAAATTATTAAACAGTAAGGCACGAAAATGATAACAAAAATACAGGCAGCCAATTTACATGGGCGCACGTATTATGTGAACACCCTTTCCATACGAACGACTGCAGGCGGCCTCAGGATACAGCGTTGTCAGAGTTACTTTAAATAATTTCTAACAATAGAGTTTTTATTTACATTCTGTTGTTCTAAGCTGTACTAAATTGACAAAAATCGGACAGGAAAATAATATCGTCGAGAAAAATGTTAAATAACTAAAATCTAAAATAATAAATATATATTTTTTATATTTTGAAAGGAATTGGATTTAAAAAGTGATATTTTGACTTTTAAGGATGTTGCGGGGGTAGAGGCATTTAAAGAAATAAAGTACACATTCAAAATGTATTACTAAACAATATTTTATTCAATATTACTTTTATTATTATTTTTTATTTTGGGGGGTTGGCGGGGCTGGAACAACATTTTTGTTTATAATTTTAAAACGATTTTTGGAATCTATTTTTTGAAGAGTACAGCTTTCGATGGGTATTGCGTTTTAAACTTAGAAGATATTTTTTTCTTCTATTTTTCTTAACAAAAGGGAATATGATGGCCATATCGCACGAAGACGAAATTTAAATCGTCTGAGTGCATGTGGACAATCCACTCGAGCTATACAGTATAT